TATTCCTGAGATTTTATTTTATCTTAGTGTTTGCTTATTATTTTATGAATCACTGTAAATATTATTACATTTTGTATTAAATTATGTTTCTATTAGATAGCTATTATTTATAAATTGTGCAGTTATGTATATATAGATATGTAATTTCTTTTCTGTCTTTTTTTTTTTTTTATCGTAATAATAAGTAAATTTGGAGAAGATTGTATGTTCATTTATGTATGTATGTATGTGTATGTATGTATATATATGTTTATGTGTGTATGTATATATATGTGCGTATGTTTATATATGTGTATATTTTTTATTTTTTTTATTTCTTAGTGGTTACATACTACTTTTTAAATAATGTATATTACGTTAGAATTTTTTTAAGTTAGTTTTTGGCCAGATTGGTATTTTATTTTGTATTAATTCATCTTTGTTATTCTAAGGGGACTTGGTCCCAGAATAAAGTTCTATTTTCTATTCTACTCTATTCTATTCTATATATATATATATATATATATATATATATATATATATATATATATATATATATATTATATATATATATATATATATATATATATATATTATTCATACTTATATTCCATTTATTTGTATGAATGGAATATAAGTATATCTCTGATACCATCTTTTATTTCTGTATCTGACAACTTCTTCTTATTTTATATCTACTTATATTTATTTTTTACTCTCAACATGTTTTGTATCTTTTGTAGTCCTGAAGACGACCTGCAAAGTAGGTCGAAACGTCGGCAAAAATTAAAATAATTACTATATTTTAATTTAGTATTTATTTGACCGCACCCCCGACTAACTCCTTCTCTTAAAAAATATTGATTGAATATAGTATATTTTCTCAACTTTCTTAAGTTATATTTACTGTACCCACTTTTCATTACTTTCCTTATAAACTAAAATAAGAGAATTTAATTTACATAAAAACATATATATTTTTTTTATAGGAAGCAGTTTTAAATTGCAACAAAGTACTTTAGACGCAAATATTTTGTATTCGTATTTACGAAAAGTATGTTGTATTTAATATACTTTTCTGAAAGTATTTTAAATACATTTTATTTGCAATAAACCATATTTTTAAAACACAAAATACATGTATTCTAAATACAGTATTTTCAAATAATAATTAAAATACTGTATTTGAAATTTCGAAACATTGTCGAGATAAAAAAAATAAAATGTTCGTGGAATAACGGCCTTAATTTATTATAAAAATGAAATAATTTTTGTCAGGTCTGATATATAGAGGGTGAAGCGTAAGTAGAGGGAAATATTTAAAATGTTGATAGACATCAAGGTCAACAAAAAAGTTCATATACACAATTGCCCAATTTCCAGCAGAAAAGTAGAAAATTTAACATTTGTGTTTTTTTAAGAGAGTCATATTTTTTTTTCAATATGAAGCGATAACTTAAAAAATATTTGATTTAAGTAACTAAACATTGCTTCATAGTAAATTAGATAAAATTTACTTTAAACGAAAGTTGAGTTTGTCATTGTTAAAACTATTTTAAGACGACTATTGAGCGGCCAAACTAAACTGAGTTGTGTTTTTAAAAAATTCTTAAATTATTGGTGATTGTTTTTATCATCATCCAAATATACTACAGATCCCACTTTTAGAAAAACTTTCTCGTTAATTGAGCTTAAAGTATATGCTAATTAAATGCAGTTTTATTAGGAGAACATTTGAGATGTAAGAATCTTATGTTATATAAAAAAATTATGTGATTTTTTATCACCTGTAAGCACCCGGGTTTTCTGCATAAATGACTATAAACCTCAACTTAATTAATATGGACTTAAGGTTTATTAAACGAGGAAGTTTTTCTACAAGTGGGGTAAATGTACAGTTAAAGGGTAATACAAAAAAATTAAAATAATTATGCTCTGGAACTCCCTTACAGGAGGAATATAGTGGCTTTTCAAGGAAGTAGTTTAAGGATATGCGATGTAATTAGGTCGTGGCCAGGGCCTTTGCGGAAGGGTAATTGGTGTATAATATTGGATATTTCTGAAGGATGAAATGCTTTAGGAGGAGTCATTTGGAGTGGAATATCCAGTTCTGCATCAAAATATTCATGATGACTTGGATTAAGAATGTCAGGATGCGGATTAAAGGTTTTGAAAAGATGGTGAGCAAAAATTTGGGATTTTTCTTAGTCGGATTTGGACCCAGGTTTGAGCTTCTGTAAGAAGTGGATAGTTACAGTCTTTAAATTTCAGGAGTCTTTTAGTGGTTGTCCATAGTGATTTGTCAGTTGTTGTAATATTTTCAGTTAGGCTAAGTAATTGTTGAGTTTTATATTTTCTGATTTTAGCTTGTAAGTCAATTCGGTATAGTACGTTTTGTCTGAAGGATATCTAGTCCTGTGCCACTTCGATCTTGCTCTGCGTTTATCCCTTAATAAGACTCATATATGTTGTAGCGAGTTAATATGTCTTGAATTATATATTTTATTAACAAATGTGTTATTATTTATACTTGTTGTTATAGATCCAGTAAGATTTTCTATGGCTTTATCAATATCTTATTTTATCTTAAGGGGAATTTTTAAGTCCAGTTTATCTTCCAGATCATCACGAAATTTGTCCAAGATGACTTGGATTAAGGATATCAGGATGCGTATTAAAGGTTTTGAAAAGATGGTGAGCAAAAATTTGGGATTTTTCTTAGTCTGATTTGGACCCAGGTTTGAGCTTCTGTAAGAAGTGGATAGTTACAGTCTTTATATTTCAGGAGTCTTTCAGTGGTTGTCCATAGTGATTTGTCGGTAAGTGTAAGCTTTCAGTAAAATTTAGTGACTTTTGAATTTTGTATTTTCTAATTTATGATTTTATTTTGTTAGTCAGTTGGGTGTCATGAGTTTTATCTGTTTGATATATTAGAATATAACTACCATTTTGAAAAATCAAATACACTTTTAATGTTGTTAGCATAAGTAACTTTTTCTCTTACCCATTAATAAGAAATACTTCCGTCAAGTGTGTATCACAGAAACTGGAACTAAGAAAAAATTTTCATTGTCATATTCGTTTTTATCAACCCAAAATTAGTAAGAATTGATTCATGAAATGCTGGAAAAATTAAAAAACTTGTTTTTTGTTACACGGTGTAATTTATGACTTTTTTAAACAGAAATTAGCTGTGTTTGTCAGCTCAATAGTTCTCATTAAATAGTTTTAATAATGGCAAACTCTACTTCAGTTAAATGTAAATTTTATCTACCTTACCATGGAGCAATTTTTAATAACTTAAATCAAACATTTTTTAAGTTATCACTTTCTATTCAACAAAAAGTATGACATGGAATAACATATGTCTTAAATTTCTCACTTTTCTGTTGAACTTGGGCAATTGTTTATATGAGCTTTTTTGTAGATCTTGATGTCTTCTATCAACATTTTAATTTTTTTCTCTTTCTTACGGGAAAATATTGCCTCAGTTATTAATGGCCAAACTATAGGAGGTTGTAGCCAACATTTGCAACAAAAAATGTCATTCTATGCATGGGCTGATTTCGAATGGAAAAGGAGTTTCGGATGGAGAACTGAAATGTCCAATTTTGTCTTTTCTAAAGGTGGTAACGTTGTCTCTTTCATAAGAAATTATAACACAGAATCATTTAATTCATGTAATTAAAAATTGCTTTATAATAAACAAGACAAAATTTCCTTCAAATACAAGTAGAGTTTGTCATTGTCAAAACCATTTAAAGAGGACTTTTGAGCTGCCAACCTTCCTTAAGTTGTGCTTTTTATTAAATTCTGGATTATTGCTTTGAATAGTTGCTAAATTGAGTTGCTAATGAAAGCTGCTTTTGGATGGAATTTTGAACCATTTGGAAATTCAAGATTTCCGCAGGGACTAGTTTAAGTGCCAGACTAGTGGGGAATAACAGTACACTGTACACTATTTCATTGAAAAGATCATAAACAGTGCTCACATCCCACATTCCCTGGGAAGACCAATGGTTGTGAGATATAGCCTAATCACCGGTAGTCCCGAGGATATGGGGCCTTGCTAGGATGATTACAATAGCGAATAGCCTAGGATTTGGACGTACTGAAAGATAACGACACGGCATGGAAAAGGACTTGCGGATTGGAACATAATTACGGGAAGAGAAATAAAAGGAGAGGATAAGATCTAAGCCAAGCCAGGAACATTCCAAGAAACAGAGAACAGTGGCAATCCTGGCTAAACGCTATCCTATGCTGATAGGCCCACGCAAAAGGGTGACGCAAAAGAAGAAAAGAGAAATTAAAGGCAGGAAACTCTACTTTCTTAGGGGAATATTTTTTTCAGAAGAAATAAAATTTACAAGAAATAGGATATTTTCTTTCAGAAATAGCCAAAATCGAGGAAATGAAAAGTCTAATGCTATAAAAACAGCATCAATGCCATCTTAAACATTTTTTCACGTTAAAGGGAGTTTTTATAAAAATGAAGTATTTGTAGTATAGTTGTTAAAAGAAATATCCCAAATAATTCGTTATTTAATGAAAAACACAACTTAGTGTAGTTACGCTGCTCAAGAATCACCTTTAAATGGTTTTTACATAGACAAACTACTTATATTTGAAGGAAATTTTGTCTAATTTACTGCAAAGCAATTTTTAATTACCTGAATGAAATCATTTTTGTGTTATCGATGTTTATGAACGTGACCACCTTAAGAAAAGTTAAAAATTATACTTAATTTATTTCCGTTCGAAATCGGGCCATACATCGCAGGAAATTTTGACTAGAATCACCTTCCAGAGTTTGGGGATTAAGAACTGAGACACCCTGTCTATATATATATATATATACCCACATATAACTTATTGAGTTATCTAATAATTTTTTAATTCTTTTAATTATATTAATAATCTTAGTGCAATATTCTAATTATTCTCTGAGAGTTTGTATACATGAGTTTATCAGGGTTCGATGATAAAAATAGTCAAAAAGAAAATAATTTTAATCTTACTGAACGATATCTCCTCCAGTTGAGAGTTTCCAACTGTTTTCATATGTTTTACAGTTTTTTTCGAAAACCTCAAAATAAACACTGTGGTATATGAAAGGGTCTTTCAATCTATACACAGAATACCTAAAAAACCATTTCAAATTAATAATTAACTAAGTTTTTACTGTTCCACATTTAAGAAATATGCTTTTCTAATTATCAATATCAAATTTGAAAGAATAAAAATTAGTTAATGCTTACCATAGGTCGCTAAACCGCAAGCAATGTGCACTTTCATGGTAAGTGAAAGGATTAGCCCAGGTTGGTATGTAGCGATCTACGCAGCTTTGACCGCCTCTTTTCTGCACACCACTTATTGAGATCTGTCTTGTGTCCCTACTCAGATCATAGCTTTCATTTATAGCAGGCTCGAAAGAACTCGAGTTAGGTTCCGATTGATTAGATTCGAGTGAAAATTCTAAAAAAAAAAAATAATTGGTATTAAACTCAAATATCTTATACAATTGCACACATGCCCACTGTGCAAACAAACAAAAAAGAGTGCAGAACATGTGTTTATCTTCTGTCTCGCTTTCAGGAAAAGAGAAAAAGAGTTTAGAGAGTTCGAAGGATCAGAACTAACGGTAGATGACATCGTCGGACTGACGCTACTCTCCCAGAAGTGCTAAATGGCGGGACAATGCATAGCAAAGTAGGTGATCAAAAGAATGGGGAGTGACGGAGTGACCTTTTTCCTCCTGGCACCAAGACGCGAACTCATAATTATTATTATGTCAAACTATCTTCCACCAGGTTGCCGACCACCCCACCCCTTTGCAATACACAGCCACTCCTTTCTGAAGTAATGCCTAACGGTAGTCCTGTGGAGAGACGGAAACATTTGTCTACAAACAACTCTCTAGAGTTGGTTTTAGTGGGTAAGAATTCTACACATGGGTAGGTATAGGTCTATTTGTGTATTTTCCAAGTTTTCCACGAACTATCGTTTAACCACACACCATGCACTCACACTATATAAGATAGCAAATCTGATTCCCCAATATGGCCGCGATATCAGGCAGAGGAGAAAAAAACGAAATCTGATTCAGAGAAAATTAGCGAATAGCCTCAGATTTGGACAGACTAGGGAAAAATAACTAGGTACGAAAAGAATAACAAACAGTCTCATCAATAGGAATACTGAAATATAACTATTCAAAACTCCTCTTATCATTTTCATGGATGGGTTCGCTGGAAACAGATATTTTTAAAAATAACCATTTCAATACCATTCTCAGGTCTTACTACCAGCATAAGGTGGGTAGAGGGTGATAATAATAATTTTAATTAATTACTAAATCAAACTCGAAATTTAGGGCAAATATCTTTTTTTTTTTAATTCATTATAATCAAGATAGCTTAATCACCAAATTTGATCTACCTTTATTATAACTGTTGAAACAATTACTTTACTGGATGTTTTCATATATGTTTTTGATAAACTAGCCCTCTCTCCACTAACTGGTATATGAATGTAAAGATAATTATTATATAATACAAATAATAATTTTAGAAATTTTAATATTCACCTATAGTTTCTTCGGACTTGTTATGAAATAATACATCATCTAATTCTTCTATATCCTCTTTTAGTTGATGAATTACTTTACTCATCCCGGTCTGTTTTTTTGGATTGTGGTAAGCACTTTTTGGGACTAAAATATTTACATTTGCATTGATAAGTATTATTTTAAATAAAATGGTCTAGTTTAAGAACTATAATAAAATATGAAATAAACTATTTGTCATGTTGTTAATAGGTTTTCTTGAATAGCGGTTTGTGTTTGTTTTTCAAAAATATGCTTACAGTAAAATAATTTAAATTCTAAGTATGTGAATATTACCACTATAAAATGTGTTTTTATAGTATGGTGGTATTTTCACTTTAACAAACAAATTTCCCTCATTAATCAAGTTATTCTTTAGTTTGCTACTTATACGATAGAAAGTCCTGGAGATAACTTTCTTTCAGATTCTTCAGGGGAAGATTATAAATTAGATTGGTAAGAGCTGTATATGAAACCAGAGATATTGTTTTCGTAGAATTCATAGATTGCATTAAGGATGTTATGTTAAAAGCTTTTGAGCCCTCAAATCTTGATTCCTTGAGTCTGAATCTGGACCTATTTTTCATCATTTCATGTGTAATCATGTGAGTGAGCTAAATATAATAAATTGGATGTTTACAGTAGTTTCAACAGTTATGATACAAAGTTGAATGTTGATGTAATTGGCTAAACAAAAGCTTTCTAGTCTTCTTGCTGCAGGATTCCATTTCAGTCTCTCCACTTTATTAAAGTATACTTTGGGACAAAATTCACGGAATTTTAATGAAGGAATGCTCGGATTTATTTTAATCCCTCAATTTCAAAACAATTCTTGAATGATTTTGATTACTAATGGGCAAAATCGCTCAGTGCAGGGTCATATGATAGCAAAGATCTAGTTTCTGTGCTTTTTTTCTTCCAAATTTTCTGAAAATGGTTACCGTAGTCCTTAAAAAGTAATACTCAATAATAGTCATTCATTTAAAACAACTTTTTTTCAATCACTAAACTTTCAATCTGTAAAAACATTGATCAGCTAACTGTTTGGATCATGTCAAGAGCAAATAAATTATCTTTAATACTGAATGAGACTTAAGATCCTATAAATGGATCATCATTTTTTTTTATTTATATGATATTTACAACTGTATAAAAAAAATACATCCAGTAAATTCGCACATGGATAAAATTACATGAAACACATGTTGAGAAACTACCCATTAGTAGCACTCTAATAATATGTCTATATTAGGAGACCACGTGGCCATCTTCTTTTCAGACGCCTCGGAGGTTATCAGGAATTGAATAGGAAGCAAGGTTAGAAACAAGAGGGTTGGGATGGTTATGAAGTTTATTATGGAAGGATAGATATCTGGATTGGGCCAAATCTGATACATAAGGAACATTAAGGTCATTGTGGATGATTTTATTTGTAACAAAGTAAGGAGCATTGAGGATTTTACGAAGGATTTTGGATTGTAAGGATTGGATACGAGAGGAATTTGAAGGTTTGGTGGAGCCCCATAGCTCAACTCCGTAAGTCCAAATAGGCCTTATTATAGTCATGTAAATGAGTCTTTTGTAATTAATTGGAAGGTTAGAGCATTTGTCTAGTAAGTGTTGAAGTAGTCGAAAAAGTCGAGCTGTTTCTTGTCGTTTCAGTCTAGTATGAGTATTCCAAGTTAGAAGTTTGTCCAGGTGGAGTCCTAGGTAACGGATTTGTTCAACAGGAATAAGTGAGGTGTTGTTAAAGGATACTGAAGGACAGGAAATCATTGGTTTGCGACGAAGGTCGAAGGTAATTTTATTGGATTTATTGGAGTTTATTTTAATTCTCCAGTTTTGACACCATTCTTCAAGGTTTATGATGTGGAATTGAAGGGTTTGGGATGGAATAGATGGGTCGTTATTAACTGATAGGATACATGTGTCATCAGCATATGTGGTGATGACAGTGTAGGGATGTCAGCTGTATAGACTGTGTAAAGGATAGAACCTAGGATACTACCTTGAGGAACACCTGCAATCTGGGAAAAGCGGGATGTATAGACATTGTTGTGATTTACTTTTAAGTATCTATCAGTAAGATAGGAACGGATAATGAGGAAGTATGTAGATGGTAGGAATTTTCGGAGTTTGTACAGCAGTCCCGGGTGCCGAACTGAATCAGACGCCTGTTCAACGCCGAGAAAGACTCCCGTACAGCATATTCCGCGCGGTTCTACTCCCAGGATCTGAAGGGCACTTTTGGACTTTGGACCCTGGGCTATTCTTACCTTAACCACCTGTACGCCACGTGACCAATATAATTTATTTTGATTGATATTAATCCCTAATCTTAATCCTTAATCCTAATTTGTATTTTTTCATTTTCAAGTTCGACAGGTCCGGACCTGTCTCAACTTGTCACATCTTGTCTACGTCTCAGTAAATATAAAGTGTAACGACATAAATATAGACATACATTGTGACATTCTACGATATCATGTCTCAACTGGTCCCATCTTGTCTACGTCTCAGTAAATATAAAGTGTAACGACATAAATATAGACATATATTGTGACATTCTACGATATCATGTCTGAACTGGTCCCATCTTGTCTACCTCAAGTAAATATAAAGTGTAACGACATAAATATATATTATTGCAAACGAATATAAATTATAACAATGAAATATACACATATATTATTACAAAGGAATATAAATATAAATGTATTGACGAAAATATTTATTATTGGAAACGGATATAAATTATAACGATGAAATATACACATATATTATTACAAAGGAATGTATACATATATGACACCAATGAAATATACACATATATTATTACAAAATGAATATAAACATAAATTGTAACGAAGGAAATATATATTATTGCAAACGAATATAAATTATAACAATGAAATATATACATATATTCTAATAATTTTACGATGATATATCATAAAATTCCTACTGTTAACAACAACGTCATCACCCATCCCCTCCCCCCTCTTCTTCTCATCAACTTTTATATATTGTTTTTTTTCATAAATATCAAAACGTATTTAATAATCTAAGAATATACATCTCCAATATCACGAATATTGTAATAAATCGAAATTCGATTAATCGATCATAAAACTAATATCATTTTCGAATACTACACCTATAATAACATAATAGTACACTCTAATATCGAAAAAATAAATCATAAAGTTAATATACGTAATATTATTTTCATAACATATGTTTATCAATAATATAGAAGGCTGTGGAGAGTATCTCGCACTTCGAATAATCTTAGACTCCAATATCAAAGAAAGTTTTATTAAATCGAAAATCAATGAATCGATCTTAAAACTAGTATCATTTTCGAATTTTACAAATATAATAATCTAATAGTAGACTCTAATATCGAAAAAAAAAATCATAAAGTTAATATACGTAACATTATTTTCATAACATATGTTATATAGAAGGCCGTAGAGAGTACAGCTGCGTTAAGCAACAAGTCTCTTCACGTTTGAACATGCATAGGCATGTAGGGGGACAAGGTCCACTGCGAAGGAAGCGGTAGGGTCGGAAGAGAGTGGTGGGGGAAACCATCAGCCAATCAGATTCGAGGATACAGCCGGAGGTACCCGTGTGCCTACCCCCACTACTCTCATTCTAGCTCCAGACTTCACAGTGTTCCTATCGTACTTAGTGTCCTCTGCGTTAGAACTCTCTCTCTTTGTCTACAGTTTTGTTTATATTATTAGTTTAGTTTCTTATTATAGTTATCTACAGTGTTGTTTTCTTTATTTCAAAGTTATTTTTGTTTCTTCATACTTTTTTTTTCTATCCTAAGGTAAGTTTTTTCTTTTTTTATTTAGTTCTCTATTAAAAATTTTCTATTCTGTTAACATTTTTCTTTTTGGGTTTTCTTTTTACATCTTCATATTCTCTTATTATAGTGTTCTTTTTTTTTCTCTTACTATTATATATATTTATTAAAGTTTAAAGTTTTTTCGTTTCGTGTTTTCTTTATATTTATAGTAATTATTCTTCCTTTTTCTTCTTATTATATATATTTATTCTAGTTTAAAGTTATTTTCGTGTTTTCTTAATATTTATAGTGTTTTTCTTCTTGTCGTTCACAAAGTAATTGTTATTTCTTTTTGTTCTTATTATATATATATATTTAAAGTTATTTTCGTGTGTGTTTCTTGTTATCGTTTTCAAAGTTATTATTCATTCGTTTTCTTATTGTTTTATATATATTTACATTAGTTTAGATTTGTTCTTTTCGTTTTTTTCTTATTATAGTTATATTTTATTTTTTTAAATTCATTCATCGGTCGGAGATAATTTTTTTCTTTATTATTATATATAGTTATTCTTTATTAAATATATATTTTACAAAAAATGGAATCATCGTCTAGAACATGTGCTAATTGCAATAAATCGTTTGCAACACATACAGAGTGCATGGCACATGAAGTAACATGTTTTCACAGCCAGGAATTCAAACAACTAGCCTCGTGTGTATGCGCCAAATGTGGCAAATCTTTTTCGAGATCAAATCATCGAAAGCGACATGAGGCTACTTGTGGGGATTCAACACAAACTCAAGAACTTACACGTAATATAGAATATATATGTTCATATTGCGGGAAATCCTTCAATCAATCAAATAACCGAGTAAGGCATGAAAAATCGTGTAAACACCTGTCCCGATTTGATGATTTTGATAACCATTGTGAAGTTATTTGTGGAAAATGTGGGCAGGTGTTTACACGAAAGGATACTAGATTAAAGCATGAAATCGCATGTCAAATAGTTTTCAACAAGTCCTGCCGTTTTTGTCAAACGAATTTTACAAATGTTTATAACTATTTTAGACATGAGCCGTTATGTAATAGAGAGCCCCCTTTAAAAAAACGTAAGCAAGAACCACAAAGGGAGGAACTTTTAGCCCTCAAACCCGACTCAGTCGGTTTTTCGGAATATGAAACTGCTTTCGGGGGGAGGTTGAAGTCATATTTCATCAGATGTAATGAGAATTACGACATGATAATGTTTTTTAAAAGTATCAGAAATGAACTTTTAAAAAAAATCCAAGAATGTCTCCAAGA